AGACACTCATTTGCAAATCAATTTGGTTTTCACGGGAGACTCAATTGAATCTCTCGTTTATGATGTCCACCAGCTGAATGTGCTGCACACAGGCCGCCTCATGATTCACTTGGCACGATATTCCAGATATCGCAGTATGTTTTCATAAGAAGGGCGAAACCGATCGTGGGCTGTCGAAGAGTTTTCAGCAACCCTGTGAGTAGTTTCCTTTATGAAAATATACTGCGATATCTCGAATATCGTGCCAACTGTAACATGGGGTGACTTGTGTGCAGCACATTCAGCTGGAGGACGAGATATTCAATTGAGTCTCCCGTGAAAACCAAATTGATTCGCAAATGAGTGTATTTCTCATAAGAGATTTCCTCTATAATGTTGATACCTAGCTATTTGAAAATTCGTGAGTACCTTATAGCCACTTAACGTGGAGTTCGCATGAACCACTTACTGGTCTTAGGGAACCATACTTTATATGGTGACTGAGACGAAACAAAAAATGTTGGCATCTTACTGTTATAGATAAAACGTCACACTGAAATTTCGAGGAACATGCGAGGTCTTAATAAAAACAGAGAATGTATATAAGGAATGTGATCAAGAGGGTGTCGAAGTCACTGGAAATTAGTAAGACGAATAAATGAGAATTATGTGTTGAAGTTAAGTGCCGCAAATCTGATCAAATCGGAAGCCTCCTCAAACCTCACTTGAAATTCGTCAGGCATACAACGAGCGAAAATTGCTGGCTAAACAAGTGGACTAGGATCTAGCAACCTGCTGGGTACCCCGATCAGTTAAATTCTGGGTTTCCTAGGGTTTGAAATCGCATGCAGCGAGATCCACTAGGAACCTGAACAGGTAGACACATATATCCCGCAACATCCAGGTTCATGAATTCCGCCTGCATTTCGTGTTAATATGTCACGGTCCGTTTCTCGCAAAATATTCGCCATTAAATGTTTACACGCTAGAACGCCACATAATTAGTTAGCGGTTTTTGGGAATTCGTAGTCTATATCCCGAGCGAATTAAACTGACGGGATTGATTTTTCACTTCCTCTATTTTGATTCCTAACCATGGTCCACGCTTAAACACCATTTCGCCACAAAGCACACCGAATTCAACCAAAACCTGCTCCCTTGCAGATGCCCTAATGATCAAATATTTCATGGAAAAATACACTCCCTGGATGTATTACCAGATATCAACAAAGTGAACCGAAAACTAGTTAAACCTAAAACAGAAGCTGATTACTAAACGCCACCAAAAATTTTAGTGTGGTTTCTGGATATCCCTTCAAGATATTATGTCTTTAGTTCATTCAACAAAGATTTTGAATTACAAAATCGTGTGTATTAGAATAATATGAAATAGAAGGCTTATTCAGACACAGACACACTATAAAAAGAAATAAAAACACAAAACAAGACATGCGTGGCGCTAACAGGCGTTATCCAGTCCCTCAGGTTTGTAGCACAATTGCAGCTTGGGATTGAAATTAGAGATATTCATTATGATTCGCACCACTCCAGGATACAGACTATTCAAACACCAATACAGATTTTGTGTAAAAAAACAATCTCTGGAATCTCCCATAAGTTCTATGAAACTTTTCCTTGTTTTGATTTGAGAAACCCCGAGCGAAGTATCCGAATTAGGGCAACAAACCCTTCTCTTTTTTTGCCATCCCTACTGGGAGAGCAGAGCCAATAATCTGTTCCCCGTACGATAAAAAAGTACGATGTCAGTTGATCCCGAAGTTACGCCTATTCCGTTTATGGTGCAACTGACGTGTCTGCAGCATTCCAAAGTGGGACTGGCAGAAAACTGTGAGGTGCCCAAAGGGATTCGAGCCTGGGCCGTCTAGACTGAAGTTTTCAATATCGTCTAATTGGCTACACAAAGTAGTAAGCCTTCGAGTTTTTTTAGTTTCTTGCAGCTTGATGGCAAAATGTAGTTTACAGTGATTGGAAATAATTCGCCAACCCAAAAACGGAAAATGATGTCGCACAAAAGAGTTTGCTTCTAAGGAGATTTATCTGGAAGGTATGTGAGCAATCTGATCTTTTTTCTTCGAATGATGATGAAAATCCTGATGGCAGAAATTTGTACGAGCAATCTAGCCTTGTTTCCATTAAGGAACTGAGTGGTTCGATAAAATATGTGCGCCACTGATATCTCCCTCATCAGAAAGATGGTAATCAAATGTCTCCGATTCTGCAGCTCGCTTGCTCAAAACTTGGCCGTTATATGCTCTTTTGGCGAAATGGAAAATGCATCTGTCTACGGCTCTAATCCCGTGGGAAATAACAAAGTTGTTTCGAAAACGTCTGCCTAATTGCCATAAAAATGTTTTGTCAGAAGAGCGCTCCACTAACAGGTGCAGTAAAACGGCCCTGTTTGGAGGACAGTAATTAGGCAAGGGATGACAGTTAAACAGAACAATTATTGTGCCAAAAATATGAATGTTACGCACGTGTGACATGTGAAGAGTGAATCGACACACGCATTAATGTGTGCGTGGTTTCGCACAAGGCTGTTTTATGCAGCTCCATCAACGATGAATATTTGCCAAAGTCACACATTTTTCAGTGCACGAAAAACAGCTCTCGACTAACAGCTGACTTTTCGCCCTATAAATATACACGCACCATTTTGAATGGATTCAGATCTTCGGCACACATTTCTGCTTTAGCTTATTTCACTCTTATTGTTAATTCGTAAATTAACTAACGCAGATTAACGTCCAGTCAGAATCATCCGACAAGAAAAGAAGCGAAATCGTGGTTTTAAACGCCAATTTTTACGTGTCCGCCTTTCTAACTGATAACTATTACCTGGCATCATTTATTATTCTCAAAATTTAACCTCTCATTAGCTTTTTCAAACCAGCAGAAACTCAACTGATCGAGCGACTGCCATACCTATGACATGGATTCAAACTTGAACCGAGATAAACAGGTTGTATGTCAGCTGATCGGCATGATGATTCGAAGATCAATCCGGCACGCAATAAAAAAACCCGTAGATAGTTTGGGAATTGAAACATGATATAGTAACATAAAAGTCTGTGGATCAGAATTATTCTCGAAGTTTGCTTTGTGGTCAGTTTTGTCCGTTCACGATAAAAAAAACCCGTAGATAGTTTGGAAATTGAAACATGATATAGTAACATAGAAGTCTGTGGATCAGAATTATTCTCGAACTTTGCTTTGTGGTCAGTTTTGTCCGTTCACTTTCAGACCCTTCGTCCCCGATGGACCGAATCCGTGCGAACGTGGTATTTCTCAGTGGATGTTGGCATCCTTCGAAAACGTCTATAATATGACGCATCTCAAGTCGTCGGGAAGGAAATAAACCATTACGCAGTGTCATGGCTGTTCGCTAACTAGGACTACGCATCTACGTGGTCTTTTCTCTTTGGCTTGTCCACTCGTTAAAGTGGAAGTAAACTAGTTTCCTGGTTCTTCATTTTGGAATTGGCGTCCTGCTCTGTAAGCCCTACACCGATTGTCACCACCTTGACAATCCGGCCGGAATATTGGTTTGTTGTCCTAATCGTCCAGACTCGGGGGCGTGGGGTGGTCCGTTTGTTGTAAAGACGTGACCGATACTCGTGAAAGTCACTTCATACCATATCAGCCATTGTGTAGTCACACCAGCTTGGGCGTCCCGCTGGCTGCATAGAACAAGGTGAGTGAAATGTTAGATTTAAATAGGGATGAGATGGCCCAACTGGTTAGAGCGTGGAAGGTCCGTGGTTCGGACCAGACCTCTGCCTCTCCCCCTGTCTAGCTTGGACAACCTGGGAGTATCCAAGCCCTCGTGCTTCCTTCGGACGACATGGCAGCTAGGCAATGAAAGGGTTTACAGTTGAAGGATTAATATTATTTATTAAAAATAGCTTTATGTTGTAAATCTGGTTCAATCTGTCTAGGATTGGTGTTCATTAAAAAATGTATCCATTTGCTGGTGGACCCACATATGGCCACACTTCATCACGGAGGAAAGCAGCCGATTCGAAGCTATTCCCCTAATTTAACCACATTGTGAGAGAACTGGGTTAAAGTTATTTCCGAATACGCACCATAACCACAATAACCTCATTCAGATCAGTTCAAATATTCCTACTGGTAAAAAAACGATGCTCATTTTAATTCAAAGTCCAACATTCAGTCAGTTTCATCTGACTCTCTATCTGTTCTCGTGATACACCAGTTGCTTCCGTAAAAACTGCTTTAAATTGATGTTAGGATATTTCCTGATCCCGAACGAAGACTTTGTGGCCCTCAGTTTGAGGACAAACCACGTGTCCATAGACCAATTTTCGAGCTCAGATATAACGCCTCAAGGTTTGAATAACCATGCGAGTGGAACACGTCGCTCAGCTCCAGTCATATTTTTTCCGTTTTTTTCGAATTGAAACCTGCCATCCTTCTGATTGTACATCATCTCCATTGCACGCCCTGATAGAACAAAAACCCACATACCACTGAAGCAGGAATTGGCCAGAAACTGTGGCATCACAACTGATATGTAGGTCTGCAAAGTCCGATTTTGCTGGTAGCTTGTTCTGATCTCTCTAAGTCTACTGATCCCTCAAACCAAGAAATATTTCCAAGACATGTCAGGCTGTTATCTTGATCCGTGTTTATTCTCGGTAACAGGTTGACGGGAACCCTATCTTACGCCATATTCACTTCATGAATAAAAATTAATATATCTTCAAGCTGCTTAGCAGCCTACACCGAAGTGTGAAGAGATATCTTACTTTTCCGGACTGCATAGTTCTAGGTATAGTAAAACATCGGAGTCATGTTGTAGGTCACTGCGAAAGGGTAATTATTGTTTTCGAGAAATACACTCATTTGCAAATCAGTTTGGTTTTCACAAAAGGCTCAACCGAATCTCTCTTTTATGATGTTCTACAACTGAATATGCTGCACACAGGCCGCCTCATGTTTCAGTTGGTACGATAATCGAGACATCGCAATATATTTTCATGAAGGGAGCTACTCACAGGGTTGCTAAAAACTCTTCGACAGCCCACGACCGATTTCGCCCTTCTTGGGGATCATCAGGTAGGCGCAGTCCCCGAGTTTCCATCAACCTTATGTTCCACTTGAACCCAAATTGCATCGTTTTCGAGAAATACACTCAGTTGCAAACCAATTAGGTTTTCAAAAGAGACTCAACTACCTGATGAGCCCCAAGAAGGGCGAAATCGGTCGTGGGCTGTCGAAGAGTTTTTAGCAACCCTGTGAGTAGCTCCCTTCATGAAAATATATTGCGATGTCTCGATTATCGTACCAACTGAAACATGAGGCGGCCTGTGTGCAGCATATTCAGTTGTAGAACATAAGGTTGATGGAAACTCGGGAACTGCGCCTACCTGATGATCCCCAAGAAGAGCGAAACCCATCGTGGGCTGTCGAAGAGTTTTCAGCAACCTTGTGAGTAGTTTGCTCCATGGTAATTATTGTTATTTATTCCCGCTAAAACGGTCATGTCGGAAAGAAACCTGTTTCCACGACCTAAACTTCTGAAGGACCGAAACCTCCTGGGGTTCTGTCTGTTTAGGAGAAAACTCTACTGCATTTTGGCTTAGATATTTCTAGGCTCATTCCGTTGGATAAAAACGGAAACAGTGAACGAATGGCAGCTGTCAACTTACTGCTATCTATGTTATGAAGAAAAGATACAGATACAGAATGGAAAAGACAGACTAGGGGAACATCATAGTCGAGACTCATATTTGTTAGTTTCTCTGTCAGACACCACAGCAATGCTAGCAACCCAATAATCTTGAAGCCCAAATGAATTCTTGCGGACATTCTGGCGGTTTTCACTAGAACCACATTTTACCTCTCAATTTTAGTTCACTCGCACGGTACATGACATAGTACCAACGGTACGATGTCTTTCAAAGCTGTCTGTGTATTTATGACAAAGTTGACGATAGCGGCTATACACAACGATTACTATATCATTGTTATACGTGTTCTGGAAGGCTAAGTACAGGTAAAAACACTTTCTTGACCCGAAAACATCAGTGAGCCCCAGAAGGGTTCCCGAACACCATGTAGGATCTAATTTCTAGCCTCGGGATAAATTTTTCCCAGGTCCCTCTCTTTGCTGCTTTCAAGGAGTCAAAATTAATCCCCCCTAGGTATTCAATGAGGTTTGGAATCTGTGTTCTATTTACAAGACCAGGTTAATACCGGCTTGCATGACCAAGCTACGAGTATAATTCTCACGACCTACAGTTCATGTATGAGGCTCGGGTAGTATTCTTCCCGCGGATTCTGTCACAAGTTGCACCGGAAGGATTCCACCGACGAACGAACGTTTTGGAACCAAAAACTAAATACCTACGCGTATGCCATATAGATAAGCATTCAAAGCCTGTTAACACAACAAGTACTCGCTGCATGCATATTGGCCAGATGGGGACTCTGCTGAATAATCAAGTGCCTGACGAACAAGTGATATCATATCTTATCCAGTTCTGATTTCACATCAGTCCCAGTAAGCCCTCCACAGCTGAAGTCTAGGATGCTGAACACTCCTCCGAAAGCTTGTTGGTTAAATTCTACCTGGAGATCCGTTAGACGTACGTTAAGCTGATATCATTCAATAACGCGGAAACAGCCTTACCGTATTATCATTCTGTCATTGGTTTGGCCAACCCGCCGGAAAAATCAAATAAGCCGTATCTGCCTACAGACCAGTTTAAAAAATATCACCATATGTACTCATATAACCCAAATTTTCCACATAATTTCTTATCCAGGAATTGAAAACAACTTTGCTTATTCACAACAGACAGAGTAGTGCACAATACTCGAAAGATGTATGTACTAAAAGTCATTAAATAGAAACCTGCTAAAATAACGTGTTGAGTTGCAGTTAACTTTGATAACCGCCTGTCAACTCCTGGTGTTCTGGTGTACAATTGTTTTTGATGTCTCCTAGTACCACATTTTTCTGATAACTGACACTAATTTGTTGGCCAGGATAACAACCGAAGTCGAGAATCAGTTGGGTGGGAGAGGCGTCTGGATTCCCAAATTGACAGTATAATTGGCACTATCCTACTACTGGTACTACCAAAGTGGATGACTGTCAAAATGCATGATGTACGATTAACACAAGCTGAACACGAATCTCATAAATTTTGTGCTTCAGAAAGCTTGTAAAAAAATGTCCGGATAGAATGCGTGAGGACTGATGTGTAGGTTCACATCTTATTTACGTCCATCATCAAAACGACATTTAAAGTAAACTGAACTGACACACACAGCTGCTAAGTGTTGGCTAAGAGTGATGCGCGCAGCGGAAAGCAAACAAAGACGCTTGTTAGAACGAATGCAGTGCAGTGCAACACAAAACAACGCAGTAGGTGGGCTTTTTCATGGTCTCCGATGCCTGAGGGATGCGCGTGTGCATTTTGCTCCAAACAACTACTATACTTTCACAGCGAATGGAAAAGTTAAAGGCAGCTATTTATTATTGTTCTGGGTTTCAAACGAATGTAACCAGCTATTTTCGTTAATATATAAACAGCAGACGCAGTTAACTTTGGGCTCACAACCCTGCTTCCCATTTTCCGAACATGTTGACCAGTTATCCAGTGCGAATTTAACTTACACAGCGTTCCGTTGCATTGGTGGCTGATATCAGTTTCCTCATTCCAGACGTCAATTCTGTCACTAGTACTACTTTGAGGAAAGTAGCCTTCAAGCTGACAGATGGCCAGTAAAACAGTTAAGCTGGGTATTTTTTGTACCTGTCACCATATAGTCTACTGATGGGTTGGGATTTTGATTGAGTGGCTGAAGATGAAACGATCAGTTGATGCTGATCGCAGACGTATACAGCCCGCTACTGACTGTCTATCTGCGAACAAGTTTGCATGCGAACAACTTATTCACTTTCTCGTCCTATCAGATGGCATTTCTCCAATAAATGAAGGCATTAGATGAAGTTCAGGAGAGGCGTGTCAAAATCCAACACTGCCAGTTTACCGCAATTCCACTAATTGGTGCGTACTATCCGGTAATGGATTGTTAAACACACTTGTACACACGTTTTACACTAGGCGGTTTTTCCGGAGCTATATCGCATACCACCCATGAGCATAAGAAGTTAGTCGAAAATGAAAGGCTGAAGTTGCTGAGCTGACAACAGTTGAAAATCCTCTACCAGTTTGTACATAATGATGACGATTATCAGTTATAGCAGTGACGGGGTAGCTTACGCCACCAACCGAATTCCGTAGTCGTCAGTATAACTGATGGTTGTGTGGGGGGATTTGGTCGTTTTCAATTGAAATTTCGTCCTATCACTGAAGCCATTCTATAGTAAAAAGCCAAGAAGCACTGCACAACTGTTTTGTTATCATCAGCACTTCGCACTTCACGGAATTCAGAGTTCCGAACTCAAAACCTTGCGGCCAATGACTGAATACCTGAACATTTGGACACGAGCAACTAAACGGAATTTTCATTTAGAGAAGATATGCCGTCACTCATCCTCCAAGAACAGAAACTATATTAGTAAAGTACTATCTGCAAAGGATATCCAATAGCTCCATCATATACCAGTGTGCTCCTGATCCATGCACAACGCTGGGATATTTTCAGCCTGCAAAAGCTCACATTATCTTCCGTTCCCGCGCTTCTCGCCTCTAGCTGGTTAACCATACCTAAATTATTTTCACATGTGCTAATGCACTACGCACGCAAAATGACTGAGTTGGGGTACCTGAATTTCCACGGGTGACATAGTTCTGTTTGTCTAATGAGATATGCCTTACCCTTTATTACTTAAACCGTCCATCGTTCAGTTGATACTGGAATCTAAATCTGCGTGAAAAAACGTGTGACATTTTGTAAAACTCAGGAGGAACTACGGCAGTGGTGTGCCTTATCTACTTGTAGATACCAGAGTCTTCTAGTGCAGTCCCGAATGTTCACAGTTAGACCTTAGCACAATTCTGTGGTGGTGTCTTGATAAAACGGAAGCATAAGCACTCACGTTACGAATTTTCTCCGTGTCAATTCAAATGCGAAAATGGTGGTCTTAGTAACGTGAAATGTGGAAATGTCTCGTACAATTCATGCACCCCAAGATTTTCTGTTTTGCTGCAGAGGTATTGAATTCACCGCTAATTCCCTGTACTTAGAAATCCACAAAATTAAAGTAGCTATGAGGTGAATCACGTGTTAACGCCACTGTTCAGCATCCGCATTCTAGACTGTTGAAAGCTGTCAACCAATACACGAATAATTTGTTAACCACGTGGCAGTGGACTAAGAAATGTAACCTAGACTTAGCTTAAGAGAGTTTGGGCAGATAAGCCACTCCAAATTGCCTTAGGATAGGTTTACACGCAGAAAATTGAAGGGTGGTGCTGTTTAGATCCGAAAACGTTCAGATGTGGTGCGCGGTTTTGCGCTATGATGATAAATGAAACAATAACATAATTTGATCTTTAGATTTTCAGTGAGAATGAACTATGGAGAGTCACGAAATAATTGCTACGGGTTAGGGGACTGAAGAAAATGTTCGCACAGATTTCCTAGCAAGCATTCGAAATCTTTGGGTCTACTGTACGGTTGCAGCTTGTTCGGAGACTCATTGAACCAAGCCAATGGTTTTCTACTTCTCCAGGAGTAATCACAACCAATCACTCTGGCTGCTGGCGCACTTTCCTCATGAATGCCGAAGCCGTCCTCAATGTTGAAACAGCATTTGTACACAAAGTCCCTAATCAAGGTTTTTGTGTTTCGCTGTCAGCATAATCTAAGGCTTGGTGTTTTCTCGTATGGGAAGTGAAACGTTACCGAAATATGAAGATGATCTAGTACTGTCTTCACTTTGCTCGGTATTCTGCGGTCTAATAACAGCAGGCAAAATTGTCCGAGACTGTCGATCAACAGTTCGTCGGCCGTCACAAGAAGACATTTCTACCGCTACCATATCAGTGAATTGCTTGACTGACTCGGCAAAAAACCTACTATGCACAGAGCTGAGCAAGAACAACACTAGGAACATCACGGTTTAGGATATCCAAAGATATGATTCTTGTGGTTGAAGTGGTAGGTGCTCATTGGCTGATCAGAGGAGCGCACACACATGCAGAAGCGTCGCATATGTCCAGCTGGCCTCACACGAAAAGCTTCGATACCCCGACTATCATTGAAAGCAAATTATTGCCAGACCGTGCCCTGGACACTCAACCGAGTTGCAAAAAAACCAGGATAAACTCTAGCCTCACGTCATCGCTAGTTAAGAAGTAATCCTACCCGGTTGTTGATCGATCTTCTTGAGGAAATATACGTCCTATTCTCCTCCGTGAAGTTCCACCTGCCTACTTTGCTGTTGCGGAAAAACGACAATTCCATGCAATACCACTTATGTTAAGTTCGTTTGTGGAGATGGAGTAACTTTCTGGTAAATGGACAGATTCACTAGCACCAGCAGAAAAAAAAGATAACTTTTTCGAAACTTTTTACTTTTGAACCGATAAACCAAGGAATTAGTTGTTCTCCTCTTCTTTGGAAGAGATTTGTGGGAATTCGGGTGAGTTAAGACACACTGCGAAAGAAAATAGGGGTTTAGTTTGTTATATTTCATAATGTAACATCAATGAACACCCGATTGCATGCCCTCTCTTCAGGAAAATACATTCCAGGCAGCGAAGGTGATTCATCCGGTCGCTGACCAGTGGGAACATTATCGCATGACGTCTGAATGGGAACAACAAAACGTTTGGCCGCTCGATTCTCCACTTCCCAGGAAGCCGTTTCAAGAGCCAAACAAAAGTGTTTTCTACCGTGAACGGTCCGTTCTGAGAGTGGGTTCATCACTGGGTTACGTCCACAGAACCAGTAAAAATGATCTATACTGTGAGTCGCTCTCTCTAAATGGTAGACCCTCTCTGGGCGTATTGTTTCCGAATAAACCAGCGATACGGAAACCACTGCCATATACAAATAGTTAGCCTCCAGCGTCTATTGATGCACGAACCTGGACGTAATTCCACTCACAGCGCACTGATGATGTCATCTTGATTGATGATGAAACGTTAGCAATCAAATTTCCCAGCTTAGCGGACATACCAGCAGCGGTCGGTGAGTTCCTTCAGTAATGGAGAGGCCTGTATTGCTTCCTCAATGAACATACAGTCGATGCACGTATCCCAGCCACCAGAACGTGATTTTTCGACGGTAGACTGTAGAATGTTTGCAGATATACACGTGCGTATTAGTCGTAAGAAAGCTGGAATGAGTTGTGATGCAGTGCTGCTTGAAAAGTTGGCTAGTGATTTCATATTCAAGGTGAAGGTTTTTGAATTCACTTTTCTGTTTAGTCAAAGTGGCGGCAGACTAGGCTTTTCAGGACTGTGATACCGTAAAATTGCCACATATATTACACGAATCTACTCCCGGAAACAAGCAACACAGCCTAGCTGACGTCCAAGAATTTTGGCAGGCTTAGTTGCGGTGTATAACAATTAGAGAATACCATCAATGAGGAAGACGTTTCCCACTGGTTCATTGTAAAGCTTTTCAGCACACTGAGTATTTCGTGCATACTCGTCCACCAGTGAATGAAGCAGTCCGAGGAATTATCTGCATTGATTGGTGTGTGAAACTGTTTTTGACAATTAATGATTGGGACACGGGTACCATGGAATTATTTCGAGTATGGAAGAAAGGAAAGTGAATTTAATAAACCCGGAATACTGAAGCATGACTCAACGATAAAATTACCACCACTTTATGCAGTATACAGACAACTAACAACTTAAGCAATACTTCAGTTACTATCGAGCAAGAAACTCCAAGTCTCAGTGGTTCCGAAATTAACATTCTAGAATACGACTCAAACTTGGAAAAATTGCTCAAAAGTATTCTTTCAAACTTGTCGGGAGAGCTTACATGGTTCCAAAAATTACCACCTTTCTTATTTAATTAAGTCCGTTTTTGAACAATGATCCAAAGCGGGATCAAAAGTTCCCACCTAACTTATGAACTGGGGCCTAATTTTCGATATATGATGATGATGACTTGTAGCGTTCTAGCAAATATTCGGATAGGTTGATATTGGTGATAACTGTTCTCCTAATTCCTTCACATTCGTTCACTTCGGAAACAATGTTACCATCTGTTTGAAACTGTTTTCTCTGCATCCAAATTGCAATTGGCTGGTGGACAAGGACTCACTCAATTGTGTACAATAGTCACTCACAAACAGACCAAATGAGATGGATACAACGCGTGGGATAGGAATAAACAATATTCAATACGTATGCCTGAACTAGATGGTCTATATTAAAATGAAAATAACCTTAACCTAACAAGTGCTCAGTGTTACCCACATTCAAGGCAGCTTACAACTGTGGTGTCGGGAATGCTTCCCGAAACCATTAGAATAGGGTTGTGGGCAGCTGGTGTTCTTGGAAAAAAGTAAGACGGTGCATTTTAGAAAGGCTGCGGGAAAATCCAAGGCCTCATAGGAATTTTAAATGGCCAAGAAACTGGAGTTGAGCGAGAAACCAGAAGAGCTTGACAGCACATGTGTTCTCAAAGGGGAAAAACGAGCATTCGTGTCGGCGGTAACCAAGCTCAGTTTCATCTATGGCACCATAAAACGTTCCATACAGGAATTAGTGTGCAGGGTGGATCGAGTGAACAGCTTTGAAAATAACTTTGTTCATCGAGAAATACTCTCATTTACAAATCAATTTGGTTTTCACGGGAGACTCAGTTGGATTTCTCGTTTCTGATGTCCTCCAACTGAATGTGCTGCACACAGGTCGCCTCATGATTTAGTTGGCCCGATATCCGAGATATCGCAGTATATTTTCATAAAGGAAACTTTGTTCATCTTTCAAAAAAGCAAACTGCTGGCTACCTGTTCATCATCATCATCATCGACAGCATAATATCAGTGTTCAACACTGACGCTTCACTGTCGTACAACCTCGATTTATTTGTAAGCTTTAGTGTGAAGAAAAGAATAGAGGTGGGCGAGGATGGACTACAAGCATTCAGAGGTGCTTGCACCTACAGACACTGATTCAGTTAATCTGGATAGAAACTGACAACAAAAACGCCAGTGACATCGGTTGGCAGCCATATTGTGCAGCATTTCCAACCAAGCGCAGTGAGTATCACGCGGTCCCCATCCTAGAAAGCGATTAGCACTGACAGCACCCAAGCTTTTTGTAACCCCTCTGCGAGGTCAAGGGTTGGCCACCTCTCTGCTCCCGCCACCCTTAACTGCGCACGGAAAACAGCACTCCCTGGCAAACAATGGTTGGATATATGTAACACATGTCCCAACCAACGCAGCTTCTGGTGCCGGACACACCCTTCAACTGAAGTACCCGTTGCACAACCAAAAACTCGCTTTCGGATTGCCTCGTTATGGTTTAACCGATGCCAACCGACACGTGCTATGGTTCTGAGACAACAATTTCTGAAGACGTCCCAGCTATGCTGCTCGAACAGGCCAAGTCTCACAGCCATACAACAAAACAGCCTGCACTGTAGCTTGATACACACCTCCGTTGAGATTCAAGGATATATCACTTCTATGCCACAGGTGTCCCAAATTAGCAAACGCGTCCCAGGCCTTGCAGATTCGTGCATCGACCTCATCTGTCACACTATAATTAGACTAATACAACATCTAATCTACGTAAAATGCTTTACAACTTCCAGTACCTCTCCCTGGATTGTGAGTCGCGTGTTCAGTGACTGCATGTCCATGAGCATGACGTTACACTATGTAGGTACAGAGTGCATACCAAAGGAGGGGATGGCTGTGATCAATTCATCCGAAAACAACTGCGCCTTCTCTTCGAAAATGAAAACGATGTTGTCTGCATATTCTAGATCAATAAGGTTTTCGTCAAAGGCTATTTTAACACGACAGTTTTAGAGACCTTCCAGCGTTCATGTCATGATTTCATCGATGGAGAGCGTGGGGATCCCTGACGGACAACGTTTTGTGTACGGAATTTTTTGGAGAGCTCACCATATACACTCACACATCCGGAAGTTTGAAGATACAAAGAGCTTATTATGTTCACAAACTTCCTAACCCATGCAGTTGGACAAAGCATGCGGGTGTGCAATGTTCTTGTAAATCAAGGTAAATCAAGGTAAATCAAGGTTATATTGGTCTAAAAAGCATTTTGCTTTACGATGACCAAAGGATATTGGTGTGTGTGTATGTATACAGATAAACGGAATGATATGGCATATATGTTCTATTGTTTGTAATCTGCATCTCAAATATTGATGAGGGAAGTTGGGTGAGATCGTATGTATTCGTCAAGGAGTTTAATGTACAGCACCTTTGTCCTGTGGATCGGTTGTAATCGTACACAGTGAAATACAGAAGCGCACTTGTGTTTCTCTTGCCTTCCTGGAAGTAAGGATACAGCACCCGTCTGTCTTCAATCTTGAGTAGTATTACTTTAACAACGTTTGGCTAGACCGATTTATTGTGGTCCGCATACATTAACGTGAACTCAGGAATCTGAAAAATGCCAAGACACATCTGTTAATGTAAAACGGTGCTGGGCATCAAACGCACGAGCGCACACCTGATTCCCAGAATCATCAACAGAACCACTCGCTCCATTAGAATTGTGGGGTACTGTTGAATTCTGACGTGAATTAATCGGTTGTCTAATGTGATCAAACCATGTGTCGCTAGGCTTAACACACTGGTACACGATCACCGGATTACGGGACGCAAGAACTTGAAGTCATTCCCTCGGAACTATCCGCGGAACTCCATCTGTTGAAATCCACCATCCCGGGGGCTAATGAGTTAGGATCCAACGTTTGAGTTATCCTTCTGGTAGGGTGAAACCTGACGCGGGTTGACAACTTACGGGGATAAACATTACAAAGAAATCTACCTTCGGGAGGAAAAACATGTGTTGTTTACTTTTTAGAGGAAACTGAGTAAAATGATTTATGTGCACCTGATTTTCAAGTTATTCATGCAAACTTGGTTGTCAACTCAGGTGGACGGAGAAAAATATAGTCTGAAACTTGACTGATTCGCGCGAACAATTCGTTTCAGTTGCCTACACCTGAACGCATCGATCAACACTGGCCACCCGTTTTCGGTGCGACTATGCTTCTGACTTTCATCCTGGCTGTTACGCGCAGCACTCTGAACAAAGGTACGGTCCAAGTAAGTAAACAATGGAAACGGTTTTTTTTTGTTTGTTGAAAAGTAGGACGTTAGATTGTTTGTAGGAAGGACATACCAGGCTGGCTATTCATTGAGACTAGAAAAGACTTGCAGTGAAGACTTCAGCTTTGCGAATGATATAAATATATTCTATCTTCTTTATTTTTTTGCATTACACGAACGGATAAATCAGAAGGGGAGCATTGTTTTCGATATATGTTTATCCACGAAGCCACTAAAGAACTGATCATAATTATGGTAAACCCAGGGCCATTCTAGCTCCAAAACAGCGTTCATGTCATGATTTCATCGATGGAGAGCGTGGGGATCCCTGACGGACAACGTTTTGTGTACGGAATTTTTTGGAGAGCTCACCATATACACTCACACATCCGGAAGTTTGAAGATACAAAGAGCTTATTATGTTCACAAACTTCCTAACCCATGCAGTTGGACAAAGCATGCGGGTGTGCAATGTTCTTGTAAATCAAGGTAAATCAAGGTAAATCAAGGTTATATTGGTCTAAAAAGCATTTTGCTTTACGATGACCAAAGGATATTGGTGTGTGTGTATGTATACAGATAAACGGAATGATATGGCATATATGTTCTATTGTTTGTAATCTGCATCTCAAATGTTGATGAGGGAAGTTGGGTGAGATCGTATGTATTCGTCAAGGAGTTTAATGTACAGCACCTTTGTCCTGTGATCGGTTGTAAATCGTACACAGTGAAATACAGAAGCGCACTTGTGTTTCTCTTGCCTTCCTGGAAGTAAGGATACAGCACCCGTCTGTCTGCATTCTTGAGTAGTATTACTTTAACAACGTTTGGCTAGACCGATTTATTGTGGTCCGCATACATTAACGTGAACTCAGGAATCTGAAAAATGCCAAGACACATCTGTTAATGTAAAACGGTGCTGGGCATCAAACGCACGAGCGCACACCTGATTCCCAGAATCATCAACAGAACCACTCGCTCCATTAGAATTGTGGGGTACTGTTGAATTCTGACGTGAATTAATCGGTTGTCTAATGTGATCAAACCATGTGTCGCTAGGCTTAACACACTGGTACACGATCACCGGATTACGGGACGCAAGAACTTGAAGTCATTCCCTCGGAACTATCCGCGGAACTCCATCTGTTGAAATCCACCATCCCGGGGGCTAATGAGTTAGGATCCAACGTTTGAGTTATCCTTCTGGTAGGGTGAAACCTGACGCGGGTTGACAACTTACGGGGATAAACATTACAAAGAAATCTACCTTCGGGAGGAAAAACATGGGTTGTTTACTTTTTAGAGGAAACTGAGTAAAATGATTTATGTGCACCTGATTTTCAAGTTATTCATGCAAACTTGGTTGTCAACTCAGGTGGACGGAGAAAAATACAATCTGAAACTTGACTGATTCGCGCGAACAATTCGTTTCAGTTGCCTACACCTGAACGCATCGATCGACACTGGCCACCCGTTTTCGGTGTGACTATGCTTCTGACTTTCATCCTGGCTGTTACGCGCAGCACTCTGAACAAAGGTACGGTCCAAGTAAGTAAACAATGGAAACGGTTTTTTTTTGTTTGTTGAAAAGTAGGACGTTAGATTGTTTGTAGGAAGGACATACCAGGCTGGCTATTCATTGAGACTAGAAAAGACTTGCAGTGAAGACTTCAGCTTTGCGAATGATATAAATATATTCTATCTTCTTTATTTTTTTGCATTACACGAACGGATAAATCAGAAGGGGAGCATTGTTTTCGATATATGTTTATCCACGAAGCCACTAAAGAACTGATCATAATTATGGTAAACCCAGGGCCATTCTAGCTCCAAAATATTGGCTTATTGTATCGCTTGTTGTGTAGGCCAAAACATTCCGACCTGGCAGGTTGGTCATTTGACTATGAACATCCGAAAATCGTATTCTGTCGGTAACGGGTTCGATGCGATTGTAGGACTTTCTGACCGCCTATGAGAGCTAAGTGCTTCCAGCAGTCTAAATTACCGGCTGGGATCAACATGTTTTATCGACCGACTAGGACTGTACGGTCATTTGACTCATCCATTTGCAGCTCACTAATCACGGCTCGATTGAAAGGGCTTAAGTCAAATGCCTGTCTCAGTCGTGAAGCCTGTTCCAGTTTGGTAAGGTATCATGCTCAGTGCAAGCAATAAAATGAGTGGGTGCGCTAATAAACGGTCAATTTAAACGAATTCGATTACTCGAAATCGCCTTATCGCCTCTCAGTGCTTCCATCTTACTTTCACCTGGTCGTCAGCTCATTGACTTTTCGTCTTATCGAACCACTAAGCCATCAAAACGGAACTTACGGTGTGTTAAAAATTTAATGCATGACACCTGAGTAGCCTCAACTGGCTAGCTTTCTCAAAGCGGGTGCGGGTTCAAACTACCTTGACAGGATAGTTAACAGCAGGTAATCAGTTCTCCGGCAAACAGGCACATTACAGTGTCAAAGTTCACAAAGCAGATAATGGTGAGCGGAATGGGGCTCGCTTGTTTCGGCTGCCAAACCGGGATCAATTTCACGGTGCTGATCTCGTAGTGCGACCACCGGGGCGTCGCGTCACGACAAGTCAGAACAGGCAGAGCAAATGTGGACGAACGCGGCTGGGAAAGCGGGCGCAATAGGGCACACACACGTGCAGTCATACAAAGCGCTCGGCAGCTTTAGTTTCGATATGCAGTGCGTTCTCAGCAAAGCGACCGTGCTCCAGATGTATTTGGGTATTTGTATACACCCCTGCACCATAACGTGCCATCCTTCGGTTGACTTATTTAATCTCGCACCGACCAACTTCAATCAGATTGCCTTTCGTAATTGTCTATACTTTGGAGAGTGAACTTCGCTCAGCACTAGCGAATTTGTCAGTCTCAGTAGTTCTTTTTTATCTACATTCTTTGATGCTGCTTCAACAGGGCACCTCATTGAACAGTTTCAGCAGCTACTGTCGGTGAAAACGCCAAAATATGCCACGGTGTCTCTCAGACCCCAATGATTTAGGAGTTCTTCAGAAAAGCAAAAATGTTCGATTGAGACCATGGTCCTCTGATTATCACTGCCCCACAAATCACCAATAATTTCGTTTTTAGAACATCTATTTTCACATCAACTCTTACTAACTCGACTGCAGCAACTTCAAGCTTCTCTTTCAAGTGAGCCTGTACTTCTGCACACATGACCCAGCCATCAGCGAAGGCAAGAACAATGGGTACCGGTATTGTTCACTTGGCCAAGGTTTTCTGTATTTCGCTGGGTGGGGTGTGCGTATCGGTGGTTTTGACTCAGGCCAGTCTTCGTCCCAATAAGGCGGCAACAATTAGCGCAGGTCAAATGGATGACCACATTCTTGTTGGCACATTCAAGGACGTGAACACGATGATGGACTATTAGGCCAGCCTTCGATTTGAAGCACTTGTTACAGTCTCTCTAGATGAGCCCATGGAGTTCTCCTGTGTACTGTTTGGAAGCATTGCAGAGGCGCCAGATGAATTGCGTTATATATTTTCGAAAGCGGCCAACACGTGAAAGCCACATAATATGGTTGGTCCTGCCTAGAGTTGCTGAACTCTTAGCTGACTGACGTTCTGGACGACTACTACGACTACTGTTTATTATCATTTGTATCCGAACAGCATGATCACCAGCATCAAAAAGTAAATCCGGGTGAATTGTACAAGGGCATACAGAGGGAAATTAGATAAA